ACATGCAAATGTTTAAATTCAATTAAAAACTACAGAGAGAATACATTTTGGTGTATTTTGTTAAATATTGTAGTTGTACAGCATTGTGCATTGACCCTGTTCTAAGATGAGTTCATTATGCTGTATATTTATACTAACCGTCAGTGTGTTAACCACCCCTCAATTTCCTTTCTTCACAATCATCTAACTCAATGAAGAGTGTGAAAATAAATTATTACATTTGATTTAATTTAATCAGACGTCAAGTATAATGCAGCATGCATATATCTGTCCATTTGAATTCCATTTGAGCAGTCTGTCAGAGTAATTCAAAACTGTCCAGAATTGTAGAAAATTTCAACCTTGATTTGGAAGCCGATCTTATAAAGGTTCTTGCAAAGAAACTGGCTTCTGAATAGAAACTGAATTCAACAATTTTCCACAATTCTTTCTTGTCGGTCTTAAATTTGAAAACAAAATAGTCTGAAAGCTTTGGCTAGGTGGAATTTCAGCCAAGGAGGATGTTATTGCTCAGGAAGAGAGTCATAGAATTATATAGCACAGAAGGAGGCCATTGGGCCCATCGTGCGTATGCCGGCTTTTTGAAAAGAGCTATCCAAATCAATCCCATTCCCCCTCTTCCTGTTTCTTTAACAACTATTATAAATTGGTGTCCTCGGGTTACCAACTCACGGGCCAGTGGAAATAGTTTCTACTTGTTCACCTTATCGAATCCCCTTATGCTTATTGTATAAGCAGTCTTCATTGCCTTCAGGAAAGGAGAGGAGGAGTCAAAAAGTAGGAGGATTTAAATCACAGTAGAAGGAAGGACTTTATAGTGTAAAAGATAAATGAAATCCACATAACAGCCACCATCTTTTGCCAATATTACTGTCATGCAACTCATGAGCTTTCTAAGCTGGTTGCTATAACAATATTATCTCCCTGTGTAACATAGGGAGGCAGCAGTTAGGCAGCAGGAATATAGTCTAGCAGTTCAATGGGCTAACATTAATTCCATTATTTATCCATTCCTGCACTTATTAGCACATAAGCTATCGAAAATGTATCAAAACAGACAGGTTCATTGATTTATTGTTGAAATTGGCAAGTAGGGAGATTGGGAGACGCACAGGGGTTCAGACCATTTAACATATTAGACCATGGTTGATCTTTAAATCATAGTTCCCAATAAAACTACTAGTTTTAACAGGGAAATGGGATTATTAAATGTAAAATTACCCAGTTTTAGTATTTACCTGGAACAGCCATCTCCTCTCAGGCCTATAAGGCTTTACAAGACCGTTTGTGAGAACATTTTGTGGAAAGATTCTCAAATGGTGATTTTTACTTAAGGCCATACATTCAAGCAAAAAAAATTAAGAACAATTTTTCATTTGCATGTGCAGTGATGGTGAACAACATATGTATACTGTACATTTGAGTGAGTACTTCCCCTAGCACAAATTCTGTTGAATTGGCAGATTCTGCACACCCTCAGTCTTCTACACACCCTCCAGTTACAAATACTGCCGGTACCATTGAACCATAGACAACACAGTAAGAGGCCATTCGACCCATTGTATTAATGTCAGTAAAATGCTTTAACTCTACACTTTACAGGACTAGACAGCTCGGATTCATTAATCATTCTGTGATGTGACACTTTACTGTAGGTTATATGTCTTGATTTACAAATATATTTATACATAAGTATACACACACATATAAAACCTTAGAATTTTCGTGTAAAACTGATTTGGCCCACCATGTGATATGATACAATGAGGGACTTTGATTATAAACTGTTGGAGTCAATCTTAGTGACATAAAAACTGTTGTTAACTTGCAGGGGCTATCCCAATACAGTCTCAAGAAACCACTTGAAAACTGAAAGGAATTACACAATTTGCAAATAACATATGAAAGAAAACTGGTTTGCAATAAGCAACCATTGCAAAACAATACCAGGATTATGATAAACTGCTCAAGGTTTGCTCTCAAAGATTGTTACTACGAAATTGAATATCCCAAGTTACAGACTGGTTAACCTCTCCCATGCAAGTGTTAATCCACCAGTTGGCTTAGTTTCAGCAAGTTTCTAATCAGCAATTCAAACAATAGTGTGACTACAATAAAAATATTTAACTCAACTTTAAAGACTGAACCAGGAGCAAAACAATGGCAGAATCATGTAAGCTGCAGCACAAAAGATATCCTTTTCCTTTTTGCCATTTCACTATCTGGCCTATTTAAAAACTACGATTGAATGCAATGTCTTGTATAATTAAGCCCCATTTTTGTGCCAAGCACTGGGAAGGAATGATAGATCTGTGAGGCTATTCACTTTATAGATTTGTTTTCTAAACCCCCCAAAAGAAAAAGATCTTATTAGACTGATTAAAAGTCTTTTGTTACTTTAGGAACACAGATCTTACTGCCAACTCACAAGCTGACATGAGAGAAACTTTGGGATTTAGTGAAACTCATCAATCTGTGAAGCAATTCATAACTAGACATAATTCTTTCAAAATAAATAAAAAATAATTTGGACACTCAATCGATGACTGCTTATGCGACACTGCTGTGTGCAATTGGCTGCCGTGTTTCTCCCACAAAATATACAGTTAATTCACTTTACAGTATATTCTGTGAAGCACTTTGAGACATCTCAAAGACATGATAAGGCGCTATATCAAATGCAAGGATTATTATTACAATGTCCATTGGCCTTTCATCGGTGTTTGATGTTCAGATAAGACTTTCCCCTTAAAAACATGTAAATTCCTCGTTGGGATAAACTAAGCTATGGTCACAGTCCAACGACCAGCGTTCTCCCCTTAACATCAAAAAGAAACCCAGTCTCTTCACTGCAAATCACACCAGATGTTTTTGATAGCTGCCAAACTACTATAGTATGGCCATGTATTTCACATCAATATTCATAACATTTTGGTCTGAGCAAAATCAGACGTTACCATATTTACTGTAGAGCTAGCGATACAGGATGGTTAAATGATTATCTAGTTTCCATTAAACATTAAAGAGTTCCTTCAGTACTCACAGTTTATGTTATCAATGATGATATTTATTTTGTAGATCAGAAACATTGATGTGAATGATGGAATTTGGGGGAAGTCGCAGTGTTAAATTAACATGTTTCATTTAGTAAAGCCATTCTTTAGTGTGAGAGTAGCCATATAGATCAGAAAGGCCAAATGTTGATCCCCAGTCCATGGCCAGTTAGCTGATCTCAGTTGGAGGAGCAATATTATAATTGGGCTAGATGCCGTGGGACTGGAGGGTGGGGAGAGGGAAAATTAGCCAAGGTTTGCAACCCCTGATCATCATCCTTCTGGAATATGATGTGTGTGTTTTGTGCGCATGCGTGCGTATGTTTGTGCGTTTGTGTGGACTTGGGCCAAGTTCAGGATCAGGCTCAGCAGTAATTCCTGCCAATGGATGAGGAGACTGTCCAGAACTCATTGTGTGGAATAAAAGAATGGCTATTTGGATAAGCTCCTGGAGATGGCTGACACAATCTATCACCATGAATCAGTGTCTTCAGGCGAAGGGAAAAAATTAAAAAAGGAAAAATGCAATGAGCTAAGATTGAGTTAAACATCCTTTGACACGTAATATATACACTGTAGTTTGATGAACTGAAAAAAAATCTGGAAACGGGTGAATTAAGTAATGTATTATTAACTATTTTGTACAAAAAAGTCTTTCTTTTAAAAAGAATGTTTTTTTTGTGAGACACAAAACTCCTCTGAAACAATTCTTTGCATATTTCCTTTGAATTCATATTCTTCAGACAAAAGCACACACCAATAGAACTACGAAAAAGCAAATAATGTACAGTAAGTAAAAACGACTTCCACTAACTGGCCAAATTCAACATTTTAAAAAAAAAAATGAAATGTATTTCAGAAATGCTTCCTGCCACATTGACATCAATTACTCCTCACTGATCTTCTACGGTGACAAACACCATAGCGTTCAGGTTCTATTGTACACTCTTAGGTCTATGAAAATGGAGGCAATTTTACTGAACTTCTCCTGCAAGAATTTTGCAAAGTCATGCAATTGAGTGTTCCTACCCCGCTTTCCATCCTCCCATTGTGTTCCCACCAGATATTGCACCGCACATTTCAGATTCAAAGAGAGCTTCTGATATTTGAGAAGCAGCACAGCTGGTTGCGTTAACACAATTGACTTCAACTAGAACAGCGGCTGAGATTCTGCGAAGCTCCATATGCCTCTGTAACTCTCAGCTAAGTTATCTCCCATTACAAGCATGATATGTGCCTGCTTATGCAGAGGTTGAAACTAAATCAGGTCTTGGGCTGTCTAGGTAAATCCACATCCGATTTGTGGCTTCTGGACTGGAATCACCATAGCCCTGCCCTCATTGATACCACAAATTCTGGGCTACGGTAATTTGAAATACCAAACAGCCACAGTCTGCACGCTTACGCTTTGATGCAGAAAGGCTTACTTAAGCTGTTTACCAGACAGTGTAGATACATAAAATTCCATTTCAGCTCCCGTGTGACACACTTCAGAATGGAAACCTGGCAAAGTTGTTTTTGAACATCTGGGTAAAATGTATTCCACAATAATATCACCGTTTTAAAAAGTCACTTTCTAGCATATTTTGCAATATATAAAAAAAGAAACACCTTTCCCTCTCGATTCCGTAAATCAGAGAGACATGTGGAAAAATGACCATCATTTTCAGTTGCTAGACAATGTGCGTGATCATACTGCCAGTATATAATGCATCTTAAATTCAAGACAGCTTTAGATAAGCCAGATTTTGGAAAATTGTGCTGACAGATGAATTAGCACCATAATATTATTCAGTACCATTTTTCAGAAAATGATAATCATAGTAATAAGTTTTAGCCTCTCCATGATCATCAACATTAAAGCTCATTCTGGTATATTATTTAATAACTTTTTCATCACCACAACCCTAGTTTCAACCTCTGGTTTGGCAACTGTATTTTCTTAACCTTAACAACTTGTTATGTTGTCAACAAAGTTGCCTTTCACTTCAGTTATTAACAGAGCTATTCCCACTCCACGTCATTACAGAGTTGTTTCGTACTCCAGCCGTTCCTCAATGAGGGCTTCGTCCTTGTACTGGAGTCGAGGAGGTGAGGACGCACATTCAAAGCTGAGGATAGCCTTCCGCAGACCTCTGTCCAAAACGTGCCTGTCCCATGCTGGATACTTATTCCTCAAAAGGTCAATTTTAATGACTGTTTCTTCTATCCGTGGAGTGCGTGAAGATGGTGTTGAAGGGGCAGTAGGTCTGACCTGAAACACAGGTATACAGCCATCCCTTTCTGTCAGTTTCTGTTCCCTGCTCTGTGACACAGCCCTCAAAGCATTCGCTGCTGCCTCGGCCGGCAAACTGAAAGTGGCCACGGGCTCCTTGCAAGCGCAGCTAGGTGTTTGCCCAAACCTTGGCCCGTTTGGGTGAAAAAAGGCATAATACATCAACATAAAAACAATGCCAGTCAAAAAGCTACTGAAGACAACACAAAGCGCTGGTATGGCAAAAGCATCTGTTATTTGCGGGGCTCTGTACAAGTACCACAGGGCACTCAAGGCAGTGTTTTCCAATAAGATTACAAAGTAGTAGATGAAGAGTCGGCACCGAGTCCTCCCTTCTTTAACGTTGAACCAGCTGAATATGTAGATTATCCCCACCACCATGTCGAACACAATCTCTCCCACTTGGTGATGCAGAACTCGGTTTCACAATGAACAATCCAAAAGGTCATGATACACCAATGCAGCACAATGAAGATCCCAAAATACAACTGGAAAACCGAGGCAAACAAGGCAAAAGTGATGACTCTGGCCGCAATGGTGAAGAAATGCCAGCAGAACTGAATGATGACAGCCATGTAGCCGATGGGCTTCTTGTCGTTTCTGGAGTCACGAAGGGCCTTCTGGTAGGAAGCTAAGGCCCAGGCCAAGGACACGAGGGAGGCTGCAGCTGTAAGGCCTGTAGAGGAAGATACAAAGTACACAAATGGAATAAGTGCTTTATGACCATAACTGTTGCATACAGTTATTTTGACAAATACTTTTATGGTATTGCCTCAGAGTTTTTCGGAGCCCATCTCTCCTTTCACCTTAGTGGATCTGCTGTCCCTTGTGTTTCTGGGCTTCTATTCATGGGCTGCACAGCCAAGAGATATTGGCAGAGCCTAGGCCTATTGGTAGAAGCTTGTAAAAAGGGTGTTGGTTGAGTCCAGCTATGGGAAATTGCCAGGGGCCAGGCCTGAGGTTTTGGCAGAGCCTAGCAATGGGAGGTTGGCAGGACCAAGAATGGGGTATTGCCAGAGACCAGCCATGGGAAGATGACAGAGCACAGAGAGTGGAATATTGTCAGAGTTCAGCGATAGTATGTTGGCAGAACCCAGCTATGAGATATTGGTGGATGATTCATTCTCTTAAATATCCAGTGACAGGAGTAACGGAATTATGAGACCGGCTTATCCAGCACCCATGAGTGCTTGGAGAGCCTGGCAATGGGAGAGTGGCAGAATAATTGAAAGTCCTCTTATATTAGTATTGAAATTATCAGTCCAATTGATTTAAATATCCCTCACTGAAAAGAATATTCTGAATACAAGTATAACGTTATTGAACATCAATCTGGTAAATCCTACTGATGAATGTGGTTTTATTGTGTGAAGCACCACACATTCGAAGGTCTGAGATGCTTCATGGTGAGGGTGTCAGCTTTGAGATCCTTGTTTTAAAATTTGAGATTGTGCAACATTTTTAAAAAATTTTAATTCTATCTGAATCTGGAAAGACGCTTTTCATAAAATCGTAGAATTATACAGCACAGAATGAGGCCATTTGACCCATCATGTCTGTGCCAGCTCTTTGAAAAGAGCTATACAATTTAATCCCACTCCCCCAGTCTCTCCCCATAGCCCTGCAAACTTGTCCTCCCCAAATAATTATTTTCTGCAAATATTTTTAAGAAGCCTGAAAAACTGGCTTCCAATTCAGACTGAATTTAAGGCAATGTTAAATTTTAAGTCAACGCTTTTAAGGCAAGGACCACAAGAAATATTGGGCCTCAAGAACCAAAAGGTTAATTTTCTGCTTGTTGTAAAGCCTATTTTACATTGGGCCAGACTGCAACTACCCAGAAAGGATGGGTTGACTTGTTTGCAGCAGAATCAATCATATATTGCTTGCTTGGAGATGCCTAAGTATGTTCAGGATTCTCTATAACTGATCTCCTCATAGTCTGCATTCAATTGTATTGCTTCCGGCTGGTGAATTATCCACCCATGCTTTCTTTATAAATCCCAGTGATAAAAGGCATTGAAGTAAACACTAATTTAAATTTATCAAAGCTACATTTTCCAACCCAGCCTAAATCCATTATATTAACGATTAAACCATTTGATATAAGCAGCGTGGAACTAATTTGGTTTCATTTGTGACAATGCTGAATCTGCAAGGCTCTGGGCTCTTGTTGAAAATCAATAACCAGACCTTTAACTTTAGCATGATATTCACAAATGTCAACCTAGTCAGAAATCTCTTTCATGCCTTAAGCCAAGATGTAAACTTACCCTTCAGTGGTGCAGTGTTTGCGTTCTGATTAATTTTGATTTACAGCAGTATTAGTGCAACCAATAAAATGGCACATAAATATGAGTTACGCCTTCAGGAGCGAAAGGGTAAAAGGAAAAATAGGCAAGAAATTGGCAGAGAGAATGTATAGCATACTCCTTAGAGATACTTTTTTTTGTAGAACATTAATTGAATCTGTGCTTTTCCATTCTTGCCCTTGAGTCAGAAGATTAAAGATTCAAGTCTCACCTTGTAGTCTTTGAACTTAGTTTAGGTTGACACTTCAGTTCAGTCTGGGGGAGCACTGCATTTTCAGAGGTGCCGTACTTCAGATAAGACTGAGACTTTCAACGAGTTCCCTACTGCTTGTTGAGGTGGATGTTTTTGATCCCATGGCATTAGTTGAAAAGAGAAGGGAGTTTCTCCTGGTGTCCTGGCCAATAATCCTCCAAGTAAAATTGCTCATTCACTTCATGGTTACTTGTGGGACATTGCTGTGAGCATTTTGGCTGCTGCATTTGCCTACGTCACTATACTTCACAGTAAAATCCTGTGAAACAGTTTGAGACATCTTGATGACAGTGATAAGGAACTGTATCAAAAGCAAAGATTATAATTAAATATTACAGTCAATCAGCTTCACTAAATACCAGGGAATATTTCAAGTAAATTAATTCTAGTCAAATAATCCTTGGATTTGATAAAAGCCCCCATATCTCAAAGTGCTCTACAGAGAATTTCTGACAAGTGCAATGTTGTGTGTATTTTGTAGGCAGATGAGGCAACTTTGCACACAGATATGTCCCACAAAGAGCCATGAAGTGAATGACTTATTTATCTGGAGGTTTGTTGCCCCAGCACATCTGGATAAATTCCCTTCCCTTTTTAAATAGTGTCTTGGGATCTTTAACGTCCACCTGGACTGGCAGATGGGATCTCATTTTTGACCTGAAGTATGGCAGCTCTGACAATGCAGCACTACCCAGCACTGCACTAGAGTTTCAACCAAGACTGTGAGCTCAAAGGTGTGCCATAGAGTTGGAACCCAAGACCAGAGTAAAACTGAGCCAAACTGATATCAGCCCCAAATCTTTAAATAGATATCTCTAGTCACAAAAGTTCTTATATCCTTAAAATTTCAGATGGTATAAGTTTGGGAAACAGTTTTAAGTTCATCCTTAATTTGGAGATTGATTTTCCATAGTATCATAAAGAATACAGAAAATTGGCTTCCAAATTTAGACTGAATTAAAAACTATTTTTGAAATTTTCGCACCATCTGAGATGTTAAAAACATGAGAGGTTTCAAATCCCTGGTGTGTTTGCGAGTCTAATGATTGGATTTGTAACCTGTAACAAACAGACATCAGAAAATCTCAAATAGAAACAGAAGTCACTGGGAATACTCAGCAGGTCAGGCAGCATCTATGGAGAGAGGAAAGTGAGTTAACGTTTCAGGTCTATGACCTTTCATCAGAACGTCCTGATGAAAGGTCAATGACCTGAAACGTTAACTTATGGGGTCGGGAGGTCAGGAACACGTGTCATTGGAGTTAATTAAATTGATGCCAAAGCTGTGACTCAGAATAGTCTTGTAAACCTGTCTGCTCTGAACTTTAGTGACATGCAGTCATTTAGACTGAGTCATGGCTTACATTTTGAAAAAGTGTTACCTGCAATTCAGTTTGTGAGACCTATGCACTCATCTGCCACTCTGGGGATGACAATAGTAAAATCCATTATATAACCACATTAATTTCAGCATATTCTGCAATTTTATTCTACCTATTTCACAACTCAAAATTACTTTTAATTTCTGTAGATAGTGAAACAAATAATTCAACACTCAGTGAATGGTAAGAGGACATTTAGAAACTCAAAATGTGAAGGCAGCTCTTGAATGTATAGGAGCTACATGGAGCTAGGGCTAACTCAAGGTGAGAAAGCAACACACCTTTCTAAGCCTCATCCACCAGTTGCAAGCAGTTTGACAGACACCCAATCAATAATAATAACAATCCTTGCATTCCATCAGGGAATGCATGTCCTGAAATTACCTGTTGGTAAGCAAAAATACTTTTAAAAATAGTGTTAGTTACTTTTCTTCCTCTCTTTAGGGTTCCCGCATTTCACAAGCTATTCCCGGGTAAGACTGCAAGCACTTAAGTGACCTGTTTCCAATTCATGGTATCTATCTCTGCTCAGTTACAAGGACATATATCTAGGCTTGATGGTGGAGCTGGCACGAATGGTCACCTTGTGTTCCTACTTTCCTTTGAGGAAACATCTCACAGGCACCTGAACAGCCCCTATGCCAGCCTGGCTGAGAGTGAGCACTCTTTAACTATGACCATAATATATTCAATAAAAAAGTCACTGATTCCAGTAAGAGCAACTGTTGGTTAAAACTGGACTCAGCAGCTCTTGGCTCCTTCAAGTCCCGTTTAAGACCTTCATCTTTGACTGTGCCTTCCCTCCACTCCTCCTTACCTCAACTCCCAGCTCGGGTCCAAAAATCCCTAACTGTCCATTGCCCTGTGACACCTTAATGACGTGAAGGGCACTATACAAGTGCAATTTGTTGTTTAAGCCTCTAACTTTCTTAAACTTATTCCCTCTTTGGAAACAGATTTGGCAAAAGTTGTTTTGTGAAGACAGTGCCCCTTTAAGCTTTTGGGAAATGACTAATACTTATACAGCAGGGTTTGAAAGAAAATTTAAAATAAGTATTTAGTAGAAATATCAAATAATGATTTCATAAATTACCAAAAGAGAGATTAGATCAGAAACCCTTGTTAAATAAAATATTCTTCTGAAAATTACAGAGGCAGGTCACAGACAGTAGTACAATTAGGCTTCAAATGTGAAGCTGCATATTGCTTGATGGGGCAGGAGACAAGAATCAACAATCAACATGCTCTGAAAAGCAGTTAGATTTACATTTTTATTGGACTTTGTTGGCAGTTTTCATCCTCACATTCTATTTAGAGAACCCCTCAAGTACAAATACAAGCTTCCAGTTTGAAGTTATAAATATTTCTGTTATATATAGATGGTAACTGTCTGCACTGCATGGTGTAGAGCGATTAATCAGAATTAAGCTCAATATGTCCTAAAGGTGAGATCTAAGTCACATGCCGAAATGAAATAACAATTGCAGTTTCAGACAAGAAGGAGCTTTCAAAGCAGAGGTTATTTTAAGAGTGAAATTAATGAGAAGGTGTTCATGTTATCCACGTCAGAGGTGATGAGCTTAGAGGTTCCACAGCGTAATGGTTAGGTCACAGGCGATAGGACCGGGGTTTGATTCCCAGGTGGGGCTAATCTTTAGGCAAGTTTCTTTAATCCACACGCCTCTGTTTACCTAGCAGGAAGTAGGAACCCAGTTGATTGTTGATTTGC